ATTTTCCCCTCAAACTTCTGGAAGAGAATATTGTCTTCATGACCCCTTGATTTCAGTCCGGGAGGCTTTGCAGCAGAGTTCTGATATATGACATTATAAAATGACATGAACAATAATAAATCTGACCTGTTTTAAATTAATAAAAAGTACTACATTAATAAGTGTATGCTAAATTGTCATAGCAGAAATAGAAAGCTAATACAAAGATGCTCAACAATTGATAAAATGTATACTGTTTATTAATTTGGCCATGGAAATCTTAGAAAATAGCTGTCTGCATGGTCTAAAATGACTAATATTGTAAGAATCTTATCTACTTGAGAAGTTGAAGCATGTTGGGCAACCTCAGCTTCAACAGCAGTTGGATATCTTACACATAAAAAGACTGGCACTTGGAGATTGTGCTCTGCCTCTGTGTCTTTACAATTAGGCTATACAGATTATATATGCCAATTAAGTCTTTACAGATTCAAATGCATGATGACTTCATTGTAGTTGCATATATTATGTACTACCATATTTTACAGGTGAGCGAAATGAGCACATAGGTATTACTGTGTGTAGGGATGAAGTGGGAGTCACTATTATTAACCTGTAAAATAGTGACATGTATAATACACACTTAAGTCATTAAAGTATATAAAAATCAGTATATTACATTATCCCCTTGAGCGCCAGATACTTTTTCATCTATAAAATGGGAATTGCAATGTAGTTATTTTATAATGAGATTTTTAATGAGATACTTTATGGAATATGGCAAACAACTAAGAACATGAGGAACATGTAGGTATTAATTCTTGCTGTTGATCTCACCTTTGTAAAATATGTTGATAAAGCATTGTACTTTTGTCTTATGTCAAGTGTTTGCTCTTTGAAGAAATCATCGTTGAAACCTAGATAGAGATTTATATATGATATGTTTGCCCCATTGAGTTTTTTAAAACAGTGTCCTTGGTTAAGATTAAAATTTTATTTATACTTATTTTATCTGTATCATTTATTTCATGCAAATCATCTTCCAATCATCCCATGGAGTGTTATAATTCTCTCATTTTGCAGATTATTTGGTTACAAACTTGTTAATGCTATGTCAGCTTTGATCTCCTCCTGAACAACAGTTATGGGCATCTCTGTATATCTGTCTCTGTCTCTCTCTGTGTATGTGTGTGATTTGGATTTCTTTATTTTATGTATTGGGAGGTACACACACTACTGAACAGGTGTGGAGGTCAGAGCTGAACTACGGAAGTCAGTACTTTCTACCTCTTTCTACCATGTGTGTCCTTGGAACTGAACTTGAGTTGTCAGGCTTGTTGACAAGTCCCTTTAACAGCTGAAACATATTAACAGTCTGGGTGTGTGTTTCTAAGAGAGGTGATAAGTGAGAAGATAAGTTACAGAGGTAAGGAAATAACAGCTGCCCGTTACAGAAAGGATGCCTGGGATCCTGGTACTAATGAAGTTGAGCAAGGGGGACTGAGACTTCAAGATCACAATAGGCTACACCATAAGACTTTGTCTCAAACCAAACAAACTTGACATTATATCATATAAAACATGTAACTATAAATATGGGAAGGAAATAGAATACAATGATTGCAAATTTGGTTTTAGAATCCAGTCACTTTCTTGAAAGGATCTCTGTAACTCTTTATCAAAGTTATTCAGTATGAGAAGATCGTCCTGTGCTTTTGTTTTGGGTTGGCCACTAGCTAGTTTTGTGATCTAAACAAGCTATTTCTACTTTCTAAGTACCGATTTCTCCATACGAAAAAGTACAATACTAAACCTGTGTTTTTCTCACCATCTTTTTAATCTGACTTTTGCTATGTAAAATGGCTAGGGGTAATTTCAGTGCTTGTCAGGATCCAAGGGACAACTGTGCACCCAAATCCGAGGCACTTCTAAAATTCCCTTGACCCAGTGAACTGGAATTTTTCTGAGCCCCACCAGCTTCTATTCTTTAAACAATCTGTTCTCACTCAGTTGAGGATGATGTAAATTGTATGTTTGTTTATGAGACCACAGCTGAGTCACCCAGGAATCATTCCTTGCTGGCAGGATGGGTCTGCTAGTCTACTTGGACAAAGAGCTTTAGGGGCCCATCAACTGAGGAAAGTGATGTGAGTTTTACAGAGAATGGCTAAAAGATTCATCAGCTCCTCATCTCTAGAAATAAATGCTAACTTCACGGTAGTCCTCATTTGGGGTTGATTAGCTTCTGATTCTGCCCAGACTGGCATAATTTCTGAATCTAGGCTGCAAAATTTGTCACACCTGTCCCTAAAGTCGTGGAAAATAACAGGGCAAGGATAAGTTGTTGGCATCTTGGGGCACAGGGCACTTCATCAAGTATGACGAGGGTTCCCATTTCCCACCAGCTAGAAGGAGGCATCTGAACAGCTTTGTGTTTTCAGGGGCAAGCAGAAGTCTCTGCAGAAGTGAATCAGTCAGATGTGGTCTGTTTCCTTTTCTTCAGCAATGGAGCCAGGCGAAAGGCAAATTAGAAGACTTGGAACCAGGCAGGCTGGAAGTAGCATGACATGTTTGAAATATTCATTTGATAATTAAACACCCGAGTGGCTAGTAGATTGGAGTTCAGTATGCTAAAGAGTGCAATGAGAAGACAACCCTGAAAATGCCCTCCAAGGTCCCCAGTTCCCGGGCTCTAAGGAATTTTGTTACTACTTACTCAGTGTTTACAAGTCAAAAAGCAGGCAGTTTTTACAGCACTTCACATCTGAGGTGATTTTCTGAACTAATTCCTTTTCAAGCCAAAGCACACACCTGGACGTATTTCTTTCCATGTGTTTGCAAACGTCTTTGGCTCTCCTATTCCTCTGCTCTTTTTCCCACTCTGAACCTCTGGCTTCCTATCCCTGCCTCCTGTGATTCTGTGTGCCACTCTTGTTTTAGTGGCTAATTCTAGAATGAATAGATTCAGAATTATAGATCTTATATCTGGAAAGGATGACAGTTATCATCCAATCCATGTCTGTTCTTGTAGTTTATGCTAAAGCCAGGTCAATCTGTATCAAGGAAGCTGGGTCTACATTGGTTTTGACTCATTGCAGCTATCTATCTCCTTGCCCCTTGAGTAATCACAGGTCCTGACCATTTCAGCAGCCAGATAGTACCAAAAATAGAGCAAATGCCCAACACCTTATGCTTCATTCTTGTTGATGCTGAGTTCTTCCCTAATCATGAAGGTGTTGGTTCTTTTCTAGCCATCCGTAATCTTGCCCTTGCTATTTTCACCTAGCCAAGAAGAGATTTGTGTCAGAATGAGGGAAAAGTAACAGCATGGCCACCTTTTCAGGTTGGACCTGGTAATCCTCATTCTGTGTCTCTCAGCAGTATGCATTAGAACAAATTGTCTGATGCAACATAAACAGTTCCACTTAATGCAGAATCGGTTTCCCTTGTTTGCCGAGTTGAAAGGAGGTAATTCATTATATTCCAGTAGCATCTAATAAATAGAAAGTTCAATTAAAGAGCCTGGGTGCTTTTGAAAGCACATTTTTAGCACCCTCCCTTCTACAGAAACCGAGTCCAGACTTGATAGGGTTGACTGGAGCCCTTGAATAACTATATGTTCACACAGAAGAACCAAATCACAGTATCTATATACAAATACAGAGCCCATACATATGGTTTATGAATACAGACATACTGTTTGTGAAAACAGCACCACCCTGGAAATAAAACACAGGCTTCAAGTGCCATTCAGTTCTTCGTTCAACCTTATAGACTTTTGTTGTTCCCCTTTTCTCAGGCTAAACATTTGCTTTAAAACTAACTTGGCACTATGTGGCTGCACTACCATGCCTTTTAATTTAGTAGATTTTCTAGATTAGTGAAAGGCACTTAAATCTCAGCTTTTAAGACTTGATGGGAAATGAGAAAGGATACAGATGGTCTGTAGAATACCCTCAAATCCAAGAAACAAACAAAAAATTAGGCGATTGGGAATACTGATATGTCAACATGTCATTCCAGCTAAAGACTATGAAGATAACAATATGACAATAGACAAGTGGCTCTGCGTATCATGCGAGTACAGTAATTACTACTCATTTGAAGCCAGGGAGAGTCTTTGCCTCTCCTATTCATACAATAAACTCGGGTAAAGTTCATAGATTCTGTCTTCCAGGCTGGTTTCCCGGCTCCAGACTTTTCATAAGGGAGTGATAATATCACTAAACACTTGGCTATCACCAGGTGTGTGGCTGTGGTCCAAACATCCCACCTTGGCAATAGGGAAAAAGACCTCCTCCCATTCTTTCTCACAGACCACACAAAAAGGCCAGGGTCTGTGAATTCAGCTCAGAACCTGAGTATGTGGGACATGATTGTGACTGTTGCAGTCCTTGCTTATGCTGCAGAGCAGTGTCCACTTTAGAGCCCAGAGCTGAGCAATACCCCTCTTTTGCATTTCTGGCTTTCTTAAACGAATCCAGGTAAACAGAGCTGGCCAGCTCTTAAATTTGAAGGTTATAAAACAAGCAAGGGAAATGGGAGCTCTGGTCCCTGAGCCCTCATGGATCGGCTTCTTGGTTCTCTGCCGTTGGGGGCTGTCTTTGAAGATTGAGATCTTTATTCTAACACGCATCCCGGGACTCTTAGGATGAGGTCTGGGAGCAGGTTGTTTGGGGGCGGGGTGGGGTGGGGGCATAATATCTATCCCAGGAAATCACAATAAATCACTCTCCAGGCTCTGATTCGGGGGGGGGGTTGCTAATGAAAAGGATGCTTTTGGCAGGTGCCAAAGGTATCTTGTCCTAAATCTCCCAAGGCTCCCTCCTCCATTGCATGGCTCTCCCAGGTGTCCCAAACAATCTGTTGCTGGTCCCCATTTGCATCCCACCACCCCAGCCCACAGCCAGCCAGACAGCACCTTTCCAGCTCACAGCAGCTCAGCACCTTCATTCAAGCCTCATTTGGCTGCTGCTCCCCAGCAACAAATAGGACAGCACCTGCGCCGTTTATCAACTTACCCCAGGCCAAGAGCTTTCTTCAGATTTCTGTTGTCTGGAGTCCGTGCACCAGGGCGCTTGGAGCAACAGCCTTACCGGACTCGTCTTCCGCGGCGCGCACAAGGCGGCCGCCTGGGACAGTCCCGTGCCTGGAGGCTGCCGTGTGGGTGGGTGGTTGGTTGAGCACAGGCAAAAGGATCAGGGTGCTGAGAGGGGCCCAAGGATTGACTCCTACCCGGGCTCCTCTCTTTGCTCTTCAGTTATTGCCAAACTTCCCTCTGACTGCTCAAACCTCCTCACCTTTCGCCTTCGCCAGTGCCCGAAACTCTGGGCTCCACCGGTGCTCCCGCCCTGCTCTCGCTCGTCCTCTCTCAGCTCTCTCTCCCAACCTGAGCCCCTTCAAACACACGCACCCCCTTGCACGCGGCAAACCACAAACAATAAGAGGAAGGGGAGAAGCCAACGCCGGCAAATTGAGGATAGCTGACACCCTGGTATGAAGAGGAGCGTGTGGAGGGGGGTGTGTGGAGGGGAACCGCATTCACTCTTCCAGGCACCCTCAAGCTAGGTAGCTGATGGGAGCTCCGGTCATCTCTCCAATCCTCTTTTCTAGACTAAAGGTTTCTCTTCCCTACTGCTGCTGCTTCAGGAAAATCCCATACCAGCCTAGGGGAGAGAAAGGCAAAGAGGGGTGGAGAGGGAAAAATCAAGGAGGCGCGCTCCCTTTCTCCTCCCCACCCCTAGATCCCAAAATGTCCAACCCTGAGCTCCTCTCTCTGCTCTAGGTTCTCATCTGCTGCTGCTCCTCTCCCTCTCTCTCTCTTTTTTGGGGGTGGCTGAGAGCTGTGGAGAACCCGTCGCGGTTGATTGTGTGTGTGTGTGAGAGAGAGAGAGAGAGAGAGAGAGAGAGAGAGAGAGAGAGAGAGAGAGAGAGAGAGAGAGAGAGAGAGAGAGAGAGAGAGAGAGAGAGGGAGGGAGGGAGCAGAGGAACAGTGGTTGGAGAAAGCACCTCTCACCTCCCCCAGCCCCTGGCCAAAGCTTGGCTGGCGGTCGCCTCACAGCAGAGGCGGGCGGGCGGGCAGGCGGGGCGGGGAAGGCGGGCAGGGGGGAGGGCAAGCAGGAGGACGGGGCAGCCTGCAGGGGCAGCCGCTCCTCCCGGCTCTGTAGCTCGGTGGCCAGGGGTGGAAAGAAGCCGCAAGCCGCAGCCGCAGCCCCAAGTCAGCCCCCCGCTGCCCCGTCCCACCGTCTCATCTCTCCCCCCTCGGTACGGAATTTTCTGTTTCGTTCGTTTGGTTCTCCCAAGACTCCCCCTCTCCTGGGTGGTGGCAGAGACCCCAGGGGCGAGGGGAGGCTGAGCTTCGGGTGAGGGGAGCGGGTACAGGAGCGCCTCTGGCGCCTGCTTTACAGAATCTCCCTTTTACCCGTTTACCCAAGTGTCTCCTGTTTTGGGCAGTAACCCCTACCGGTCCATCTCAACTAGGGCTCTGTATTAGTGGCGCCTGGACTGTGCGGGTCATCCTGGAGGAAGAGGAGTTTGGAGTGAGGGCCTGTGGCCCGCGGGACAGTGGAACAGGGGGCTCGGTGTCGTCAGGGACCTGGCAGCTTCTGGAGCCAGTTTCTAGCTGTCAGATCCAGTTTTACCTGGTGCCGGCAGCCCCCGGGAGCGCAAAATCCAGCCTAGACTTGAAACAGAGATTGATAGTCTTGTTGGAGGATGAGGATGAGGAACCAAGTTGCTTAGTTTTGGCCTCAGTGTTTCGGGAGGGCAGTGGGGGAAGGGTGGTGCCACTGTACACTTGGGAGTCTCTTAGATGTTTGTGTCTTCAGGTCACTTGACACACCTCTCTGTTCACTCCTCAACCCGGTTGCCCCTCTTACCCTGTTCTGAAGGTTTCCAAACGCCAACCCTTTACAATGCGTCTGTAACCTGCTGAATAACCCCACCCCCACCACAAGCCAGAGACTTCTACCTGAACCTATAGGCACTTCTGTCCCTTAGCCTGCAGCATCTCAAGACCCTAACCCAACCGATGCTCTGATCTCTGCTTTGTCTCCTTTCCCAGTTCTCTCTAGAAAATAGAATGCATGCAAAGCGCCGCTTTTCTGGATGCCACGCTGGTACCCCAAGCTTCACGGTTTTTTTTTTCCCCCTGCCCGAGTTCTCAGAACAACCCCAGCTTTAAAAAAAACTCAGCTGTACTTCCCGCTGTCGCCTGGAACACACACTGTGAGCCTGAGCAGACTTTCTGAAAAAGCCAAAACTGCTTTCCTTGCCTAAACAGCTGAGGGTTTCCATTACAGTTCCTCTTTAGCAGGGATTGCTTGAGTTCGTTGGGAGAAGTAGCAACTTTCCTTCGGGTCACACCGCTTTCCTGTTGTCCTTTGATCTCCTAGAAAGGAGGTGGTTCATTATCTTGGAGTAGTAAGCTGTTGTGTGCAAGACAAACATTGAAGAAGGATGGTATTAATTACTTTGAGGCATTTAAGAGTCCAGAGCCTGGCAAGGGAGAGGGTAGAACTTCACTGTTTAAACACTCCAGGACATGGTTCTAAAAACTGGCTTAGGGGATGGTTTTATAAAAATTTGCTTGATTCTGAGACCTTTCTGCCCTTTCCCCCTGTTCTTAGGCAGTTTTACTGTGACCCAGTAAACTCTAACGTGCAGCTTTCTCTGCAAGAAAGAATTATGTCGTAATTAAGAGACTCCTTCCCTTGATTTGCAGGGTAAGTAGAATATGCTGGCTTTGGACAAGAGTTTGGGGGGTTCCAACTTCAGTTTGCTAAACTGCCTTGCAGCTGAGGTTTCTTCTCCAAGCCCAGCACACTCAGCCAGAAGGAAATCCTCGTTCTTGTGAGCTGTTTTCTTCAAAGGTCCTCTACATACTGTGATTGTCTTTAATATACAGGACTATGTGTGCCTTCAGATTTTGATGATTTCTCTGTGGATTATGGTTAAAATCAAAATTTCTCTATTTGAGCCTGCCTCACTCAGCTTCTACACCATTCTTTAAACTATTTTAGATTAACAAATCCATGAACAAAATGATATGGCAGCAACAGTTCAAAATTCTAAAATCTATGCATTCCATAACAAACTTAATGGATGCTCTCTTAGCATGAGAAATTAATTTAAGCAGATGCCCAAGGTTTGTTTGGGCTTCTGGTCAGCCCTGGTTTGGCTCATATTCTCTATAGATAGGATAATATTTCACCTTTCTAGTTTGTTAACATTTCCCATGGTTGTTTACAATAGAGGTTCAAAGCCAAACTGAAAGTAACCAACATATTGAAGACCCCCATCTAGCAAAATGGTAGGCTGGTTTGCCTTCATGGTTTGTTGTATTCAAATTTCTTGACAGTTATGACTGTGATATTGCAGCTGTGAATTACCTGAATTAGGTAACTTTTCCTTTCTTCTTACAGTCTTGGCTATAGTGGTAAATGGCATATGTAGATTCAAATTTAGTGAAGGATCATGAACAAAAAAAGATTGACATGAGGAACCTAAAAGATTGATATGTTTTCCAACTTTTCTTATAGTTTCTTAGCTTTGATACTGTTCATATTTGGAGCCCAATGATTCCTAGTTTTAGAGATGTTTTGTTCATTATTGGATGGCTAGCAGTGCCAATATGCTTTATTTACTACCTTACAATGGTGATCTGGTCCATTCCCCCCTCATGATAAATTAAATGTCTCTATATGGGACCAAATGACCCTTTAGCAGCAAATCACTTCCATGTTGACAACTTTTCTCATTAGTGTCCTACTTTAAAGAACAGATTTATTTTAGTTCAACCCACATGGCATGCACATACCTTGTGTTGTATGCAGCCTTAAAAATACTGAATATTTGTGAGAAAAACAAAAGATACCTTTAAATTAATCAATTTCAACAAATGATTGGCTTGATCATTTCCAGCGTCTATACCTCCACATTATCATTTATCTTTTAGTAAGTGCACACTATCACTATAGTAAGTGCACACTATCACTAGTGTGTTGATTATTGCATCAAATGTCAAGGAATAATTCCAGCATAATAATTTGCTTTTGCCCCCAAAAGAAATGGTTACTGATTTTCATAGATAACAAGTTTCTTGATGGAATTTAGTCTAGATTTCTCATCCCTTTGCTGTCTCCAAACACTGACTTTTTTCATTAAGATTCTTCCCTGGAAATTAAGCTCTTGCCATTTGCCATAACCCTACATGAAATTTCTTATGACTGCTCTAGATATGGTGCTTGTATTTTTACAATGTTCCTAGCATCAAAATGAGCATGGGACATCATGAAGACTGTCATCCATTGAATACTTTGAAAGCAGATATTTATTTTCAAGGAAGCAGCTGCTCCTAACTATCTGCCTGCTACAGAAAATCTCAACAATGACAAAAGCAAAAGAAATGGAACAGAATGTAAGAAGAGGTTATTCTTAAAATACTGTGGAGTGTTGAAAAGTAAGTTGGTGTGATTGTAGGTTTTAACACCCAGCACTATGCCTGCCCCAGGAAGTCAAACAACACTAAAGTGAATTGTGGGATTCTGATCAGAAATTCTGCAAAGCAAAGTGCAGGAGGAAGTGTGGAATATCTGTTTTAATCAGATGAACAAGCTCTTGCTTTATAAAATAAGGTTCTGGTGAGTCAGGGTTGCACTTCTTGCTTTGGACAATTTTTAGCCAATAACATATAAATATGTAGAAATATGTCACTTTTAAAGACCAACACATGGAACATTTACCACATTTAAACCACACATTCATAAGACACACTTCTTTTGCCAAGACTAATTATTTATTTAATGAAAATTTTGCTTGAATTGGGGCCATGAATGACTGTAATTGAAAATATATTTTATTCAAAGGTATATTCAAGCTTATATCAGAGCAGGAAGCCTGTAATCAAGGCATGAGGTCTTCGTTTAAATAGTCATTAAATTTAACAAAAGAAATGCAAATAGAAACACAGTTAATGGTTTAGTTAAAGACTTCCTTGTGCTCAAGATTAATAAGAATGCAAGTGGAACTGCACTGAGCAAATCTGCAAAGTAGAATTACAGAATCACAGAACCTAATCAAACATTAGTCACTGAAAAGGACCTTTCCTGACAGTAACTTTTGATAAGGCAAACTCTAATCAAGTCTTGTTGCTCTGTTACTGTTTTCTGAGTAACATATGGGAATGGTAGGTATGGTCTTTACTTTAACTGTCCCTTTTATAGGGTAAGAGATATGGATCCAACTTCATTCTTTTGCTTGGAGATATAGAGTCATCCCTGAACTGTTTGTTTAAGAAACTATTCTTTCTCCCCTTTGAATGATCTTGGTACCTTG